AGTAGAAAAATGGGACAATCATTTAATCTTAGGCAGCCCAAATCAATTGCAACCTGCAAATAGTGCTGTTCTTCATGATACAACACTCCCATCTTGTGGTCATAGCTGTAGGGTGCAAAATGCACAATTTTGTTTTATTTTGTTGCTCAAGTAGCTGTTATATGCTCTAGAAGGATTTCTCACAACCTACACAGCAGTGAAATAATACCCAGTACATATTTAAAATACTTTGAATTCCCCCCAAAATATTAAATATCATCACAGACACAAATCTTACTGAATTGGATGGAGAATTAGAAAAAAACAAAAACTTGAAATTCAGGTGGAAACACAGCTGTCCTGAACAAACACATCTTATGAGATGCTTTTTTCTAACCTTGTTTCTTGCAAATCCCCCTTTTTGTCTTGATACTTGTAATTTCAAATTTGATTTCATTTATCTACGTTAATTCACGACACTTTAGGATTTTACCGTCACTGGTTATGTTCAGATGTAACATCAAACCATGGTTTGGTGTTATGTCTGACCTTCCACCAATTTACAAAAAGTGCTTTTGCAGTGGGACTGCCAAACCAGGAAAAACAAAGCATGGAACATAGGAAGCCTTCACATGCTAAGTCAGCGCATTGGGCCATCTAACTGACTGGCAGGATTTCAGACAAATCCCAGGCCGATTCAACCTGGCATATTCTGCATGCAAAGAAGCTGGTTTGCAAGCCACACTTTCTGCTAACTCCTAAATTCACAAACCACTGGCAATCCACAAAATCGCTGCCCCACTCAAGAGCCTGCACCCCAGAGACAGAATAAAACGTTTGAAGCCTTACCAAATAGGAACCGAAAGCAGGCAGCTCTAAACCATAAGAGTACATCTGGAAGTTTGAAACCATGGTTTGGACTACTGACTATAGGCATTGCTTTTTTTGGGGGGGGGGATATATATCTTGAGAAAGTGCTATGGGTGCCAGTACAAAATGGCAACCAATACAGCAAAAAAAGGAGGTGATAGTCCTACATACTGGTGGGTATCAGCAACAAAAATAAAAATGCACTGACTATGCGTAGCACAAGCCATGGCTTGGGATGGTGTCTGAACTGAGCCATTTGCTTTGTAATATATTGAGTGTTTGGGACGTGGGTGGCGCTGTGGGTAAAAGCCTCAGCGCCTAGGACTTGCCGATCGAAAGGTCGGCGGTTTGAATCCCCGCGGTGGGGTGCGCTCCTGTTGTTCGGGCCCAGCGCCTGCCAACCTAGCAGTTCGAAAGCACTCCCGGGTGCAAGTAGATAAATAGGGACCGCTTACTAGCGGGAAGGTAAATGGCATTTCCGTGTGCGGCTCTGGCTCGCCAGAGCAGCGATGTCACGCTGGCCACGTGACCCGGAAGTGTCTGCGGACAGCGCTGGCCCCCGGCCTCTTGAGTGAGATAGGCGCACAACCCTAGAGTCTGTCAAGACAGGCCCGTACGGGCAGGGGTACCTTTACCTTTACCTTTATATTGAGTGTTGAGGACACCTACAGAAAATGAGTACAGTGGTACCTTGGTTTGCAACCGTTTTGGATTACAACCACATCAAACCCTGAAGTGTGTGTACCTTTCTTTGGATTACAACCCCTTTTTTTTTATTACAACCATTTTTTTTTTTTGAGGCCCCATTGGCGAAAGCGCGCCTTGAGTTACAACCTGTTTTGGTTTACAACCAGACCTCCAGAACAGATTATAGTTGTAAACCAAGGTATCACTGTATAGGAGAGCAAAGGGAAGTTGAAAGAATATGGTAGCATCATTTTCCTAACCAGCTGCTTTGGTATTCTGGTAAAAATACATTTTAGATCTTTACATTCTAACTGGAGTTCATGGAACAATAAAGAGTGACACTATAATTTCAAGACATTTATTATAATAATAGTAATTACTGCGAAGCATCTCTAAGTATTCTAAACACTAGAATTCTAGGCATAATACAAACACAGACCCACATAAATTCTCTACATCTCTTTTCCAGCATTCTTCAGTGTTTTCCTTGAAGACACCAACTTGAAGAACAAAAGCCCAAATAAGCAGAGAGATTAGAAAACCCTTTGCTAGGGGAGAAAGGTTGGCTTTACTCAGTGCTATTTTTCTAGAAAAAGAAGTGCTGGAACTCGCCAGAAATGCCTCCCTTGTTCTCGTTTAATGGCAATGGTGCCCACCTGAGAGGGGTCAGAATTGAGTTCAGGTGAGTTCCAGCTGGGGAGGAAAAAAAGCCCTGGCTTTACTTGCACTGAGAAGAAAAGCTGATTGACAGATGCTAGAAGCTCTTTAAAAACAAACACAACAAATTATTCAGAGCAGAACACCTGGGGTGCAAATGGTACAACTGGTAACAGACCTTCATAAACCAAAGTTCTAGAAATCGACACGACCAAAATAAAGCTGTATACTGTTAAAGTGTTATAGGGTTCAAAGAATGTTGCCATTAACTTTATTCCAATACCATGTTACTAGCCTTCAGCATTGCAAATGAACTTGGAAACTTCCAATGATCAGTTTGAACTAATAAATTTGTAATGGCAAGTACATAGCTAAAAGAGGACAAAGGGGACTGCACTAAAATTAACGCTGCTTGATTTTTGTTTCAAAGTTCACACTTTTGATTAGGACAAAATAATTGGGACATTTGCCACCCCACCTCCCATTTTAAAAAGAAAACCCAGTTTCCTAATGAGCTGGTCTGCAAAGCCCAAAGGACACACAGAGAGAAAACCATCAAGGTGAATGTTTTTGCCGTGGTCAGAATGTTCTTCTGTATGTGATGAATAAGGAAGGATATTGCCATGCTATTTCCACACTTCGAGTAATAAAACCATATGAGTCAATGCAATTGTCACAATGCATAATATTCCCGAAAGACCGCACAATTCAAGCCATTCTTGAAAATACGTGAATATTTTGAAAGGAGCACTAAACATAAGCTGAAAAAGTATGTTCAAAAGCAGAGAATCAGGTTCTGATCGTCCAAAAAGATGAACAAAGTTTAAAACAATCATCTACCCAAATAATTCACGTTCTACTACCCCTTTAACAGTATGCACTGTATGTAGTACTATGCACATACTACAGAGGCTTCACTCATAGACAGTTCCTTTACAGATGGCACTGCATTTTCTAATCCAGAGTTGCAAAGATGGATTGCTCTCATCAAATGCTAATTCAGAGCGCTACATTATATCTGCATTTGACAATGAGGAAAATGGAACCGAATCACCTGTACAAATGAAGATAATAAACAAACTGCATCGCACAACCAGAATACTTGGATTAACATGAACAACTGCGGACTTGATTCCCCACTCAATAACAGCGGTTTTTAAATAGCTTAGCATCATACAGAGAGATGCCTTCCTCGCAAAAGATATAAGGGATGTGACGATGGGATAAGTTTAAGGGATAACAAACACAACTATCAGTCCTCTTGGCCTCTTCCCAACTCCCCTCGCCATGTTAAAAGTGTGGCACTTACTGTTAGCAACTTCGTGCTGAATATCTGCAGGTTTTTCTTAAAATAAAGGGCACTGCCAATTCCTAGGCGAAATCTGCAAAAGAGGCGGATCTGTAACAGCTGGTCCAGCACTGCTCTGGTATTAGGGTTCTGCAACCAATTCAGATCCAGAATGAATCAGGAATCAGAGGTGATTCCTAGTCATTTCCCCCCCTTTCTTTAAAGAGTCGAATGAGGCAGAGACTCCTGTGCCTAATTCTATAATAATTCCCAGCTAATTCTGGAACCTCTTCGTCTCGCACAGGGGGAAGGGGAGTGCAAGGTTAAGAGCTCTCAGACTTTGCAAAACTTTAACAGGAGAAAGAGAAAGAGAAAGAGAAAGAGAAAGAGAAAGAGAAAGAGAAAGAGAGAGACTTGTTCTAAACAGGTGGGGGAAGGATTTCCCCCCACTTTTCCAACCCACATTGAAGGGCTGCCCCCCAGACAGCTGCAGAATCTTTTCCTGCCCCAAATGCAACTCACCAGGGAGACATCCTGCCTTTCCTCTCCTTTAAAATCATGCAATGGCCAAAGTAACGAATTGAAACTAGTACTTTCCCTGACATGAGAGCCAGCCATCAGCTGATCTGCCCCGTTCGGTAATGAGCCCCATTCCAGCATGCACCATAGAGATAGGAAAAGGACTAAGAGTAATCCTCGGACGCACACCTGCTGGCTCCGCTTGCAAAGTGAGTCTTTGTATACAGAGAGCAGGCGCGTCCATAGACATAGGGAAAAAGTAAAGAGTGATACTCTCTCTCTCTCTCTCTCTCTCTCTCTCTCTCTCTCTCTCTCTCCCTCCCTCCCTCCCTCCCTCCCTCCCTTCCTGGTTCTTTTGCAAAATCCCGGGCATTTTGGCAGTTTTTAACCCTGCCCCATGGTGATCTTAAAAAGCAGAGACATCACATTGCCAACAAAGGTCCGTATAGTTAAAGCTATGGTCTTCCCAGTAGTGATGTATGGAAGTGAGAGCTGGACCATAAAGAAGGCTGATCTCTGAAGAATTGGTGCTTTTGAATTATGGTGCTGGAGGAGACTCTTGAGAGTCCCATGGACTGCAAGAAGATCAAACGTATCCATTCTTAAGGAAATCAGCCCTGAGTGCTCACTGGAAGGACAGATCCTGAAGCTGAGGCTCCAATACTTTGGCCACCTCATGAGAAGAGAAGACTCCCTGGAAAAGACCCTGATGTTGGGAAAGATGGAGGGCACAAGGAGAGGGGAAGACAGAGGATGAGATGGTTGGACAGTGCTCTCGAAGCTACCAGCATGAGTCTGACCAAACTGCGGGAGGCAGTGGAAGACAGGAGTGCCTGGCGTGCTCTGGTCCAGGGGGTCACGAAGAGTCAGACATGACTAAACGACTAAACAACAACAAAATGGTGATTTCACCCTTGGAATCCCGAACACATGGCAACCCTAAGCAAAGTAACTTCGGAGGGCCTTTGAGAGATAATAACTATTATGAAAAGGAAACTCAAACAAGGTTTTTGATGGATCTTGGATAACTCCTGAACCCAGGCACATGCCTAGGTAAAATTTTGCAGAAGTCTTAGCAAAGATCATCCTGTGAGTTTCTCTCAAAAACATAGTTAAAACAACAGCAACAGGCAACACAAACCCTGAACCTATTTGTCTGAAATGTGGCAGGATTGAAGCACTCAGAAGTAGCGGCCAAACCTGCAAATTTTACCTGCCAGAAATGTAAACTTGATAGTTGCCATGTGATCCTACCCAACCCAAAGCATTGGTTTCCCTTCGTTGGCAGATGGTTGCAACAGAACGTTGGCAAACATCTGCAAATGGTGAGGAGAAAGGGCAACTTGGAATGAATGATCTCATGATGGGAGGGGCTGCATGCTCCAGGCAAAAAGGATGAATAGTGGATGGTGTTGAACTAATGTCTGGAAATTGAGTGGGCGATGGCTGATGGAGAAGATGTCTCAGGGATGGGGCAGACAATGAAGTGAGGAGTGCAGGAAGGTGCACTTTGGGAAGCAGGGTGGGATATAAATTTAACAAATGATTAAAACAAATTCTGTATTTGTGGGCAGGCGTGATGGCTGTTATGCCTCAATTTCCCCAGGCTTCTGCAAGAGTCAGACACGGCACTAGGCTTCACCATCAAGAATTCAAACATGTTCTGACGGACATCTGCGTCACCAGTTGTTTTGGGAGACCACTGGGTAGTGGCTATTCTTGCAGTTGTTGGATTTGGACGGAAGCACGAAGCCCCCTGGAACCACTAATATTTTTTTTTGGGGGGGTGGGAAGATGGGAGATGAAGAGGTAGGAGGGGAGGGAGAGGGTTAGTGAAAAATACTTGACGGTTACTGTTTGTTGGCAATTAATTAAATTTGCTAAGATGTGAAATAAAAAAGCCTGTGTTTACCCCATCATAGAACAACTCTCTCAGCAACAACAAAAGCCATGTGAAAGGACTGTGTTTATACAAAGGACTCAGCAGAAAAAAAAATGATACTGATCTTTTTCGTGGGTTGATCTAGCAGTGCCGAGAGGAAAAGCTCATGAGACGAGTGTCACTGCCCTGGCCTGTAAATGTTGTCTTTTCTTCGATTAGTTGCACCAGCCTCTTAAAGCACTGTATAAAAACTTTGTATTTTTAGTACTTCATAATCTAGGAAGAAAATGGTCCACATAATCTATATTTAATTACACATGTCTGAGCAAGCATGTCTGAAGGCAGCATGGTTATATTTCTGATTTAAAAAAACACAACCTGGAAAAATACTAATACTACTCAATTGCACAAAATTATTTACAAAACACACACACACGAGAATATGGCAAGAATCTAAAAAGCTGAAGTTTCTCCCTCCTTTTCTTCATCTTCAACAATCACAGTTTGCTGATCTTCTTTAAGTAGTTTAATACCTGAAACAAGCAAAAAAGAGGAAGCTTAGATTAAATATCTCTGTGGACCATTCACTTTGGGCCAATCACTCTCTGGGCGTTAAACTTGCTAGGTTACCCATGGTGACGGAAGGAGATTTGATGACTAGTGACTTGTGTATGTGCTGAAATTTCACTGAAATCAGATTTGCAGCTTCAGAACCTTCAGATCCAAAGGAGATAAGAGGGAAGAACACTTAGAGGAGCTTCATTTGGCCTTCCGCTGCTCCCTCCCATAATAATAATAATAATAATAATAATAATAATAATAATAATAATAATAATATATTTATACCCCGCCCATCTGGCTGGGTTCCCCTCATTGCGAGAAGCAAAGCTACGGGGATCCAGGCAGAGGGCCTTCTTGGTAGTGGCGCCCGCCCTGTGGAAGGGCCTTCCACAGGGCGGGCGCCACTACCAAGAAGGCCCTCCCATCAGATGTCAAAGAGAAAAACAACTATCTGACATTCAGAAGACATCTTAAGGCAGCCCTGTTTCGGGAAGTTTTTAATATGTGACATCTTAATGTATTTTTGGTCTTTGTGGAAGCCACCCAGAGTGGCTGGGGCAACCCAGCCAGATGGGCGGGATACAAATAATAAATTATTATTATTATTATCTGGGCGGCTTACAACTGAATATTAAAAACAATACAGCATCAGACATTAAAAACTTCCCTAAACAGGGCTGCCTTCAGATGTCTTTTAAAAGTAAGATAGTTGCTTATTTCTTTGACATCTGCTGGGAGGGCATTCCACAGAGTGGGCGCCACTACCGAAAAGGCCCTCTGCCTGGTTCCCTGTAACCTCACTTCTCGCAGCGAGGGGACTGCCATAAGGGCCTCAGCACTGGACCTCGGTGTCCCGGCTGGATGATGGGGGTGGAGAGGGACGTAGAATCGTTGTGCACCCACCCTACTGATCCGAGGCACTGTCACACTCCTGCGCATTGTTGGGAGGAGGTCAGGAGGGGAGCCATACACAGCACAGCTTCCTCTCTTGTACTCAGGAGGATGGAGCTGTTGAACTGCACCATGCTCAGCCTCTACTGCCCCCTCAACACTGAGGGGGTCCACCCCATGCCAGCCAATATTGAGGGGGCCGAAGACCCCTCTGCCCCTAGGAGTTGGTGCACCTGCTCCCAATGTTCTTGGCCTGCAGCTCCCATGAACCTCAGCTAGCTTGGCCAACAGCCTAAAGTTTGATGATCTAGCCTGGCAAAGACTTCTGAAAACCTTACACAATGTTCTGTGACGTTTTGGTTGTCCTAATAAAGGTATTGTTATAATATAGATTTTGGAATAATAATAATAATAATAATAATAATAATAATAATAATAATAATAATAATATTATTTTATTTATACCCCACCCTCCCTGGCCAGAGCTGGGCTCAGGGCAGCTAACACCAATAAAATCACAGTAAAAACATAATAGGGGGAAAAAGAGGGGGGGACCAATTTAAAATACAGGTTAAAATGCAATTTAATATGCAGCCTCGTTTTAAAGTAGCTGATAAATCAAGACCATAAGGGGAGGGAAACATAAGGGTCAGACCGAGTCCAAACCAAGGGCCAGGCGGAACAGCTCTGAATGATGGTAGGGGAATTAAACACGACTTTAGGAGACTCTGTTTTGTGAGGTGATCGAATGCTGAGATGGTAGCATGGCTAGTACCACTTTAAACTGCAGGTGATAAGTGGGTACCAATGCTTCACCTGGAAAACTCCCTGCAAAGGGGGGGGGGCAATATATGAGAAAAAATGTTTCTAGCCAGAAGGGTATAAGGCTGCTAATATTTCAAAACTAAGAAACGTATTTGAGCTGATTTTGTATAATCGGCCTTTGCATTACTGAGTTGCTCTAAACCTCTTTTTGCCCTGTGAAGAGTGCTCTGTATGAAATTCAGCATTGCTGCCATAAATACCTAGGCCTGTCAAAAAAAGGGATATATGGCTACCTGCTTCACCTTGGTATTTTATATATGCACAGCTATGCTTTTAAAATTATATCAATTCTCCTAAGCTTTAGGAATAGTTAGCAATTTCAGCTGATTTGATTACCCAAAACCAACAACTGCTTGGCTAACTGAGTGCAGTGGTACCTCGGGTTACATACGCTTCAGGTTACATACGCTTCAGGTTACACACTCTGCTAACCCAGAAATAGTGCTTCAGGTTAAGAACTTTGCTTCAGGATAAGAACAGAAATCGTGCTCCGGCGGCGCGGCGGCAGCAGGAGCCCCATTAGTTAAAGTGGTGCTTCAGGTTAAGAACAGTTTCAGGTTAAGAACGGACCTCCGGAACGAATTAAGTACTTAACCCGAGGTACGACTGTATGATGTTTGGCATTTGGGTGGGATGCAAGACACATCACCTCATTTCCTCATTTGTGAATAGATGTTCATACACTGGGTGTTTTCCCCATCTTTGTCTATTAAGAATTAAAGTTCTTTGAGATGGTTGTGTTCAGCATTAGGCAGTTCATCCTGCTTGTGGATTTCCTCCCCAAATATTGGGGTTTTAACATATTTGGGTGGCCAAGCTCTGCTAGTCTAAAGGATGTCCCACATTGATCCAAGCCCTGGAAACCGCACCCAAGCCATGTGGCTCATTCTAGAAGCCTCCAGAATGTCCTCTCTGTGTCCTGGTTTAACCTCCTAGCAACACAGAAGGTGTATGAAAACATTCCCATAAATATCTTCTGGTTTGTTACAGAATCTGAAAATTGTAGCTGTGTACTTGCAGGCTATAATTAAAATTTTCCATTGAGTTTTTGGGGGACTCGCCTTGACTTCCTCATGGTTGGCTGTGCCCAACAATTTCTAAAACACAAGTCTCAATAAAAGAGAGAGCATTCATGGCCCACCTGCCAGTTATAAGGAAGATGGAAATGCGCCTCTCTCCATGTTCATTTGTTTTATATTATAAATAATATTAAGATTGGCATCTCTGACAGATTGCTTGCCTTAAAAACGCACTATTCTATATGTTTGGGTTGTGAGATTCCCTTACTGCTTTTGAAGGCAAGAAGATCCAACACACCAAAATCCTTTGCTCTTGGCTGCAATCCTATGCACACTTTCCTGAGAGTAAGCCCCATTGAACACATATGGATTTACTTCTGAGTGAATAGGAATAAGAACTGTGCTCCACAACAGGTTTAAGCAGCACAACTTACTCCAGGTGAGCTTGCAGCCAGAATGCTAGGTGTCAGGGAACTGCCATCAGTGCCAGAGGGAGAGAGCAAGCTCCAGAGGGACCCCAGAGAGCGTCCTGGGATTGGGAGAGGCAGCCCATCTTCTGGGGAAGGGAATCAGCGTAGCTCCAGTGGAGAAGGGGGGCAGATGGGGGAATCAGCGAGGCGGTCCCATGACTCCTTGCCGGGGACCAACGGGGAGAGGAAGGGTCCTCCGCTCCCTACGCCCTCCTTGCGCAGAAGGCTTCCACGCAGGGAGAGTAGGAGGAGACTGGGCGTCAATGAGCTTCTTTGTTGGAAGAAGTTTAAGAAACGCCCACTGACGGATTCTGCCAGCGATTGAGACAGGCCACGGGTGAGTGGCTGTCCGGACAGGAAAGGTTCACTCAGGCAACCCAGCCAGGTGTTGGCACAGGCTTACGCATGAGCAACCCCTAGAACCACTACACTAGGCTAGCAGAAATCTTTCGATTTTCAGTCACAAAGAGTTACATCTACTGTTCTTTGTCAAATGCTAAAGAGTATGGGTCAAATTTGTAAGCAGAATGTAATTGAAAACTACCTACAGTGGTGCCTCGCAAGGCGAAAATAATCCGTTCCGCGAGTCTCTTCGTCTAGCGGTTTTTTTCGTCTTGCGAAGCAACCCTATTAGCGGCTTAGCGGATTAGCGCTATTAGCGGTTTAGCGGCTTAGCGGCTATTAAAGGCTTAGCGGCTTAGCGGCTAAAAGGCTATTAGCGGCTTAGCGGCTATTAAAGGCTTAGCGGCTAAAAGGCTATTAGCGGCTTAGCGGCTATTAAAGGCTTAGCGGCTTAGTGGCTAAAAGGCTATTAGCGGCTTAGCGGCTAAAAGGCTATTAGTGGCTTAGAAAAGGGGGGGCGAAAAAATCGCAAGACTCGCAAGACGTTTCCGTCTTGCGAAGCAAGCCCATAGGGAAAATCGTCTTGCGAAGCGCATCGAAAAATGGAAAACCCTTTCGTCTAGCGGGTTTTTCATCTTGCGAGGCATTCGTCTTGCGGGGCACCACTGTAATTTTCTTCTTCTTTACTTGCTAACCAACTTACAAGATTGTTGTGAGAAAGATGGCCAGGCGGTGGAGGGGGGCAATAATTGCCATTTTTGTGAGTTTACTGACTTCCATTGGAAAACCAAACAAATACCCTATACATTCTTCCTTGCTTGTCAAAAGTTAGTGAGTCATATAGAGGGGCATCACAGTCTGAGGCCAAGCAAGTTTCACCAATAAATCAGCCTCCTGCAGATTTCTGTCAGTGGGCTTTTTGGGTTTGGTGGCTGGCCGTGTTGATTCAATTAGGCCTCGCCAGTTCCCGTCTTTTCTGCTATGTAAAATCTTTCAAATAATGAAGCACTTCATGAAGTCCAAAGATGGAGAAAAAGAAGCAGCGCCACACAGAATGGCTTTGTTCACTTCTGCGCTCCAGTCAAAGGAGAACGCTTTTCTGGTATTAACCAAGGAAAATGCTGCATGAAATGACTAGATTGGATTAAAGTCGAAACATGAAAGGGATGTAATTTCTTTGCGATGAATAAGTGGTTAAGAGAACATATGTTTTAGTAGGTGATAGATTCCAACACCGACCATCATTCTACAGCGCTGAAAGGAAATAAAAATGTCCTCTTGGGATGCTCCCAGACTGTTGCTATTTTCAGGTTGGGCTCCCAGCACATGCTGCCAAATTCAGGTTGTGCAATTAAAGTTAATATTGTACACAAAAAAAGCTGCTTCTCTAAGGAATCAGACAGTTGTTTGCATGTGGTCAGCTGTGTTTTTTCTGTACAGTTTTTCCTGGTAGTGGCGAGTCCCGGGGTGACTTGCTCTATGTTAATTCAAGACACATGATGGCAAGGTGCTCAGACTGTTTCTAGTATATGTTTCCAGGTGGAGTTTTAAGGAATTCCTTAGAACTCTTGATTTATTCCCAAGTCAGTGTGCCTAGCAAGTATAGAGAACTGTTGAGGAACTCCAACTCCCACCAACCCCAGCCAATGGTCAGGGATGATGGGAGTTGTAGTCCACAACATCTGGAGGACGCCATATTGGCTACCGTTGGTGCGTTAGCAGGGCTGGGGGCCTGTGGCCCTTCAGGTGATGTTGGATTTCATCTTCCATCAGTCCCAACCTGCATGACCAATGGTCAGGGATGATGACAGCTATAGTCCATCATCATTTCAGAGGGTCAAAAGTTTCCCAGTGCAGGGTTTTGATGTAAGAAAATTAGCCTGATTTTGTCTTGAAAGGCCTTAACAAGTCACACCTTTGTTTGTTGGATTGGGGGTGGGGATTAGTATTCCAATGAACATATAGACACAGAATTGTAAAGGAAGTAGAAAGGGGAAACGCTCACTATGGGTTTAGGAAAAGTGGAAAGATAGAAAAGTGAAAACATAATATGCGAGCATCTCCTCTAACAATTAAAAGTCTCTGTTTCTACAAGCCTAGCAAACCTGAAGTTACACAGTGCTCATGCAGATGTGCCCCCTGCCATTTTTTCAAAATAGATATTTAAATACAGAGACTATCGCTGAGACACATCATGTTCAAACCCATGTGTGATGCTTTAAGAAGTGCTCTCCTTCGCATTTCCCTTACCTGCAAGTAGAGGGGGTGTATTGATCGCTGGCGTGTTTTTCCTTCTGGGTTTTCTCTGTTCCTCTTCCATTTTCTGAAGGGCTGGGCTGCCATTACCCTTCGGAGGTTTCTCAGAGAAGTCACACCTCCTAATTAAGTGGTCTGAAAGAATGCCTGCAGAAACACCATTAGGACTGGACGTTAGCCTTTGCAAGCCATAATGGTCTTCTCCGTTTTCACTACACTCCGTTTTCCTCCCCCACAACAAACACTCTGTGAGGTGAGTGAGGCTGAGAGACTTCAGAGAAGTATGACTAGCCCAAGGTCACCCAGCAGCTGCATGTGGAGGTGCGGAGAAGCAAACCTGGTTCCCCAGATTACGAGTCTATTGCTCTTAACCACTATACCACACTGGCTCTTGCTTGGCTTCGGGAAGGAGGAAGGAGGACTTTAGGGCCCTGACAGAGTCCTCACACCTCTTTCCTGAAGCCAGGCAAGTGCTTACCAGTCTTTGAGAAGGCACCCCCTCCCATGGTGCCCATTGTGGCCCATCTGCTGGCACTGCCCTAAATCCACCTCTGCTATTGGTCATGGGAGTTGGAGCAACAATATCTGAAGCCCTGAGGGCCTCTCATCCCTGCACTACAGAGAGGTTTAGGAAGCAGTAGCAGAAGACACATTATTACTCCGCTTGTGATCCATGTAGCTATAAGTGGTTGAGCAATAGCTCAAGTGGCAATTTCAGGAATGCTCACCCACTATTGGTGGAGGCGTGTGAATTGCTGGCGTATCTTTCCTCTTCGGTTTTTTCTGTTCAAGCTCACTTTTCTGAGAGACCTGAAGAGCTTTGCCCTTCCTCGGTATCTTTTTGAGTTCACAGCTTTTGAGCAACTGTTCGGAAAGGTTATCTGCATCAAACAAAGCAAAGTATACAGCTATTATCAAAATAATCAGACAACGTTCAGCCTTGAACAGCTACTTTCTCACCAGCTTTGCACTTCCCTGAAACTACAGCTTAAGGAGGGGTGGGGGGACAGCCAAGATTCATATGACACTTGACCCTAGTATATGCATTTTTGTGCAACTAATGGGGCTGGGGATTTGCGCTGAATTTTTTAAAGAAACGTGGATATGGAATTCTGGCTGTGTTTTGGTTCCTGCATTGCTTTGAAAAGCGCGAACTAGGTGTGATCACTTTAAATGCAAACTTCCCAGTCCCTATGCTGTTGTCTACAGCACATATTTTCAAAAGAGGACAACAGATTTGCAGGAAAGTTTAAACTCCCGAGGCAACATTGCTGCATAAAATCCTGCGTTGGCACACTTGCCCGCTTTTGTGGAACATGTGCACAGAAATATGAAAGGAGGCGAGATGAAAGCTTCGGCGTTCCTTCTCTCCTTTCTTCTTCTTCGTCTTTAATTAATTTGTCTCTAGAGCTTTGGCTAATATTTATAAGCTGAACCCAGCAGAAAGAAAAGGGGGGGGTGGGGAGAGAGAAACGACCAAACACCCATTCCCACCCATTGCCACTCCATCTGGCATCAGATGCGTCACCAGAAGGCACCGTCTATCAGGTTTCAAGAGCAGCAGTTGTTCCAGGGAGGGGGTGGGGGGAAGGGGGAGGGGATGGCAATGGACAGCGCTTAATGATGCAAAGTAGACCTTTTCGCTACACAGCAAGCGCTGACATCACCCCGAGAAGACTGACCTAAGTGGTTACAGTGAGTATCTCGCCCATCCAATCTGTCTTCTGAGGTATCATGTGATGCTTGCACATATTCAGTTGACATCACTGAAGAGGCTTTTCTTTAGAACCTGTAAGGGGAGGGGGGGAACATAGACATATTACGCATGCCGCATGTCAATGTACTTTTCTTTTGCTTTAATCTAGAAAACGTTACTTTTCTTCGGGTGGGGGGGAGAGAGAAATGTTTTTGAGTCAACACAACTGTAAAATAGAATTCTGTACAAAAATATCCATCTCGGTAAACAACAGGCGACAATTTTGACACAAGGGATGGTTCAGTCATATATGGGATCCTTTGGCCATGTCGGGAATGCTTCATGAACCACTAACACTTTCAAGGCATTCTCTGACATCGGGTGATGGAGCGCAGTGTGTGGCCCCAGAAAGTAAACACGAGTCATGTTTTATAGCCTGTCAGGTTCTTGGCAGTGCCCCTTTTGGTGGGCCCAAACCATCCGAAAAACAGGAGGCGTCTCCAGTCTCTAATGGGCCATGCAGACCTGCCCTACAGATCGAACCTCATTTCGCCTTACTCTGTCTTAAAGCTAAAGGACCCCTGACAGTTAGGTCCAGTCGCGAACGACTCTGGGGTTGCGGCGCTCATCTCATTTTACTGGCCGAGGGAGCCAACGTTTGTCCACACTTCTTCCAGGTAATGTGGCCAGCATGACTAAGCCGCTTCTGGCGAAACCAGAGCAGCACACGGAAATGCCATTTACCTTCCCACCACAGTGGTACCTATTTATCTACTTGCACTTTGACGTGCTTTCAAACTGCTAGGTTGGCAGGAATAATAATCGCCTAAGAACCTATCATCCAGGATTCAAATGGCTTCTTCACTGTTGTCAGCTTGAAGACTGTTACTCATAGGAACCAACTCTTAGGAGCTGGGGTCCCTTTGGCCCCCTCCAATAAAATATTTACCCCCCCCCCGAATATTTTATTCGCGTTGGCACCCCTGCTGCCAATGGGTGGGTGTTTGCGTGTCGAGGTCCCCAGGGCCACCCCAATAACTCACACATCACACAGGAATTTTGTTTAAGGTTTTTGGCATAATTTTGGCCACAACTTTATTAAAATACAAAAATGTGAGTGGTTGCTTAGGCATTGGTTGCGACTATCTGCCCCCCCCCATGGGGTACAGACTGACATTCCGCACACCTGCGAAAGTCAGAAAAGGGGAATACACTTGGGGGTAGCGACGGAGAAGGGAACCTGCCCTCAGCCCTCCCCTAATGCAACCAGGGGCTTTTGCATGGCCCAAGCCCCTTGCTAGGGTGGACAAAAGCAATAATGAGCCCCTGATTCCTTTAACGCAATCCCTTGCAGCAGCAGCATTAGAGGGGCAGGCACAGCCAATCCATGCCCCTCAACCAACCTAACCATAAACCAATGCCTCACCGCAACCTTACAAGTTGTGACGATTTGCTATGCAGTAGGCAAAAACCAAATGGCCCCAGCCAATCAGCCAGATGGACAAAGTTCCTAAAGGGCCCATGCCCCAAGAGCAGGGGACCCCATGACAGGCATAGCAAGGTCAAAGAGAACAACCCTAAATATGGGGGGGGGGACGGGCAATCCGATGCACGGGCGAAAAGAGGAAGCCCTAGCCTCGTGCAAGGAGTTTTAGCATTTCTGGCTGTCAATCAACAAATGGCAACATTAACTTCTTCCCAACGACATGGGAAGCTCAATCGCATCAATGGCCAACGATCAATTAGCCCGCCCCACAACTTTGGAGTGTCCTGTCGGCCCCCCACCACAACACATGCTCTCCATGAAGGAGAACATGCTTTTCCACCTCACTGTGTTTGGCTATGCACTTTTGGTGGTAATTTCATCTGCGGATTAGCTCTGCGGTCATCTCCTTTGTCTGGAAGGGGTTTGTCAGTTTAAGAGCTAAACGGCAAAACAGAAGTTTCTCCAATGGGTGCGATTGTGGTTCTGCCACCTGTGTTGCTTCCAAGCATCTTGTTCATTTCCCCTTCATCCTAATTTGTTCACACAAAGTTTGTGTGTTTGTGTTAGAAAGCCTCAGCTATGAACTGAGGACTCCTTTTTATTTGTTTGCAAGTGTTGTCTTACATTTCCCAGTGCACTTCCCGTCACATTCCTTGTGGGGGAAACTTTGAGATTGGGTTTGTTGTGCAAGAGCACGAAATCAGCTGTAATAATGCAACCTGAATTGGCCAGTGTATGACTGAATCCCACTCCAAAATAGCAACAGTACAGAAACTCCCCTGTTGTTTATTCTGCACCCTTCGATGAATGTGACTTTAGAGTTGAGGATCTTAGGCCAGACTTTCACATTTAGCTAGTCATATTATTTTTCATCTCAAATGCAGTGTTGACATTATGAAGTTAAAACATTTCCACTCTGCAGTGAATGGTTTGTGCTAGGATTTCTGCGAGGGGACCTCGGGTATAAGCCGTCTTCTCTCTTCTACAAACGACACATTTGGAAAAACTGTGTGTGTGATTTTGTGGACTTTTGGACCCTGGCTCAGTCTAAGATTTGGCATCATTCTTCATTTATAAGCAATCACTGAACAAAATAATTGTTAATGGCTTAATAGTATCAGTTGAGACACTAAAACAAAGTCCAGATCAAAGTGTTGCTTACAACCAGAGGATTGATACTATGATTGTGAAAGTCTCGCCACTTTTCATTAACCCTTTCTGAGAAATGTAGCACTGCAACCTTTACGTGGGTCTGTCAGATAATAAATACAAACCAACATAAGATTTTAACAGCTGCTATGTAAAGAAAAAGAAGGATCATATTATCACATGTGGTGGGAATGTAAGAAAGTGAAAAGCTTCTAGGAAATGATATATAATGAGATGAAAAAGATGTTGAAATATACATTTATTAAAAAACCAGAAGCATTTTTACTTGGCATTGTAGGGGAGGATATTAATAGACAGGATAATAAATTGTTTTTATATGCAGTGACGGCAGCAAGAATATTATTGGCACAGAAATGGAAGCAAGAAGAATTACCGACGAAAGAAGAGTGGCAAATGAAATTAATGGACTATGGAGAATTAGATAAAATGACAGGAAGGATCCGAAACCTGCAGGACCAGAGATTCTCAGAGGACTAGAGTAAATATTTGAACTATTTGAAAAGCAATTGTAATAAACAGATTACGCTAGTAGGACTGCAAGAAGTTTTGTAAGGAGGACTGTGTGAAATATTGCAATGAAGACTCTGAAGAGAGTTATTAGTTAAGGACGATTAAAAGTAATAGAAAAATTAAGAAATGTAGATAAAGGGATAAAGATTGAAAAATCTTCAGATGTGGCAGATGGAAGTCTAAAACATTGTATACGATAAGAAAATACAGTATTTTTTGCTCTATAAGACTCACTTTTTCCCTTCTAAAAAGTAAAGGGGAATGTGTGTGCGTCTTATGGAGCGAATGCAGGCTGCGCAGCTATCCCAGAAGCCAGAATAGCAAGAGGGATTGCTGCTTTCACTGCGCAGCAATCCCTCTTGCTGTTCTGGCTTCTGAAATTCAGAATATTTTTTTTCTTGTTTTCCTCCTCCAAAAACTAGGTGCATCTTGTGGTCTGGTGCGTCTTATAGAGCAAAAAATACGGTATGCTAAATGATTGTTGGAAATGGTGTGTGTGTGTGTGTGTGTGTATGAATGATTTTAACAGCTGCTTGGAAGCTCTTGCCTTGAGCTCTTTTGTGGAAAAGCGGCATACAGATGCAATATATACAATGCCTTGCTGTATTGAATCCAAACATACCTTTCCATTTCAGGGTAGAACTCTGGAGGGGAAAACCCAGAGGTTTTGCAGATGTCCAACAGAAGCGAGTGCTTCATAGCACTGCTTGGCTGGTGCCCATGACATCAAGAACCCCCGCCCTCTGATCTTTAGAGCACTTGAAAAGAAATTTCCATATGACAAACGAAGAGTTGAACATACATGCATTGAATTTGCTGGCATGTAAATCTGTCATTTCAGCTGTACATCTGGGAGTGAGCTGAGCAAACGCTGCAGCTGTAGAACTTGCCGTGGGTTTCCTCTTTCATCCTGTCTATTTGCTTATCAGCAAAGATTTTGATAACAAGTTGACCATTTCCCAGGACTGTGATGCCTGTAGTTAACTGCAATAAAGTAGCTGAAACGTGATTTAACTGTGTTATTATACTGATATTTGGCATTATCTGTTTCCCACCAGTAAAGTACGGTGATAAAGTACCTTGTCCTTAGTGAGTGATCTAGGAATTAACACTACAACTATGGCAAGGCATCCATGGACTTGTGTATGACTGTGACAAACACCTGCTTCCTGCTGCTGGTGTGCCAGAGCTTCATAAATGGCGCTATGCATATTTTATAGAGTTCGTGGCCTGCTGTACATATGCACAAGCTAAAATCAGAGTTATAATCCTACAGTTGTCTGGGGGGGTCTGGAGCAGGGCGATGGCCAGGCTGTGATATTAGCCAAGCTTGCCTTCATGTTAACACTGGCTATTTCTTCCTTTATGTTCCCAACAACTTTTAGGAACATAAAACTCCCACTGAAGTTTCCTAGAGAAGAAAATGATGTGCGCTCACATCCACATGTATCTTGTAATGGTATGACTTTTCTGTGAATTCCTCACCTCTTTAAAGCAATGCGGTGGGTGGATGTGTCTGTATTTGTGTGTGTTGACGACAGACAAAAATGGCCAACTGTCTTGCACAGTCATTAAGGCCTATTTCAGCTAATAATAATAATAATAATAATAATAATAATAATTATTATTTTATGTATACCCTGCCCTTCCCGGTTCAGAAAACCAGGCTCAGGGTGGCTAACAACAAATTTAAAACACTTAATTGTGATTCAACAAAAAAACAGCATAAAATACAATATAAAAGTGTGAATAACAATAAATTCAAAGTTCAAAAATCAATTTGGGGGAAAATCCATCCAATAAACATTAGATGGTCACCAGGGCTAGCTGGCTAAAGGTAAAGGTAAAGGTAAAGAGACCCCTGACCATTAGATCCACTCACAGATGACTCTGGGGTTGTGGCGCTCATCTCGCTTTATTGGCCGAGGGAGCCGGCGTACAGTTTCTGGGTCATGTGGCCAGCAAGACTAAGCCGCTTCTGGCGAACCAGAGCAATACATGGAAATGGTCACCAGGGCTAGCTGGCTAAATTAGTCCTATTTGGGCCAGCGAGGAGGCCAGGGGAGAATTAGCTGTGGGGTCCCAGAGCGGGCAATCTTCATAAAAAGGGGGAGGGGGAGGGAAGAGAGGGGAATAAAAGATCAGGCTAAATTCAAATTGAAAGCCAGGCAGAATAGCTCTGTCTTACAGGCCTGGCGGAAGGAGGTTAAATCCTATAGGGCCCTAGTCTCATGGGACAGGGCATTCCAGCAGGTCGGAGCCATCACTGAGAAGGCCCTGGTCCTGGTGGAGGACAGTCTGACTTCAAAATGTTGTATCATTTTAATGTTGTTAGCCACTCTGAGCCCGGCTTCGGCTGGGGAGAGTGGGTTATAAATAAAATTATTATTATTATTATTATTATTATTATTATTATTATTATTATTATACCAGGAGAGGCGGTCCTGTAAATACGAGGGTCTTAAGCCACAAAGGGCTTTAAAGGTGAAAACCAGCACCTTAAACCTGACCCTATACTCCACTAGGAGCCAGTGCAACTGGTAAAGCACTGGGTGAATATGCTCCCATAGCAGAGACCCCGTGAGGAGACCCTCGCTGCAGCATTCTGCACCTGCTGGAGTTTCTGGGACAGTTTCAAGGGCAGCCCCGTGTAGAGCGAATTACAGTAGTCAAGCCTGGAGGTGACTGTCGCATGGATCACTGTGGCCAGATCAGGGTGGGAGAGGTAAGGGACCAACTGCTTAATGCGGCGAAGGTGGAAAAATGTCGCCTTGGCTGTTGCTGCAACCTGCGCCTCCATGGAAAGGGATTCTACTCCATGTCATACTGTAAACCACTAAAGCAGGGATAGCCAACGTGGTGCTCTCCAGATATTTATGGATTACAATTCTCATCACAACAGGTGCGTATGGGTAATATCTCAGGTGGGGGACACGCATGGCTTCTTCTGGGGTAGCTTGTCCACCTTTGTTCCTTACCTTGCACTCAACTCTCATCGGTGACTCCTAGAAGCCGTCAGAATGCGACAGTGGCCACACCCTGGGAACGGCTTGAATTGGTACAACAGTAAGTAACTAAACCAACCCATGTTGCAAAGAGAACGTCAGCGATGTATAGGCAACACGATGACCATGTACATACACAATAAACAATCTTTTATAGAATTCCTTCAAACCATAACAAGTCCAAAATTAAATCTTTAGTCTTAAAGTTTAGTCATTGCTCATGTGACCACATTATTACATGAGCACTGTTCCACAGCATTTGATATTTTCATTTCATTTCATTTCAAAATAAGATGGGTTTATGAAGCAATTCTATATCCTCCCACCACGCTGACGAAGAATTCTACGAAACAGTAGTCTATATCCGGAATCACTGTTCAGTGTTGGACATCATATTTGCTGAATACACAAAGCTTCACAGCTTGTCTTTCATCCTACAAAGTCTGGTACCTCGCTTCATTTAAAGATTTTCAGAGACTTTAAGACTAAAGATTTCATTTTGGACTTGTTATGGTTTGAAGGAATTCTATAAAAGATTGTTTATTGCATATGTACATGGTCATTGTGTTGCCTATAAATTGCTGACGAATGGCTTGAATTGGCTAGCTAAACCAGGTGACGGTAGCCAGTGGGTCCCAACCCCTTGGTGAGTTAGCGACTTCCCCTGCATGCAAAGACAAGCTCTGGCAGATTGAGCGAATGAGACCAATTGTGGGTCCAATGGCCAAGAAGGCGGTTTCTGCATGTGCTGTATAGGGAAGTGAGATGTACAGTTGAGGCTCGTCAGCTTAGGAAAGTAGCTCATCTAAGAGAAGGAAAACTCTGGTCCTAAACCACCATAGCCTTGTGGGATATTTTCAGGAGTCAACCCTACACAAATCCGGAGGGGAGTCCCTAAGATGGTTGGGTGCGTCTTCTTTCCGGCAGCTTCTACAGCCAGGCTAGTGCCAAATGTATTGCTCTTCTTTCCTTTGGACCACATCAGCAAGTCTGAGAGATGGTCATTGTTGCTTATCCCAGCCTTGATGGCCCATGTCATAAGGTAGCAAATAAATATTGCTGGACCTACCACCTGTTAAAAAGGTAAAGGTAAAGGACCCCCGACAGTTAAGTCCAGTCGCGAATGACTCTGGGGTTGCGGCGCTCATCTCGCTTTACTGGCCGAGGGAGCCAACGTTTGTCCGCAGACAGTTTTTCCAGGTCATGTGGCCAGCATGACTAAGCCACTTCTGGCAAAAGCAGTGCAATGCATGGAAACACTGTTTACCTTCCGGCCGCAGCAGTGCCTATTTATCTACTTGCACTGGCATGCTTTTGAACTGCTAGGTTGGCAGGAGCTGGGACAGAGCAACCGAAGCTCACCCCATTGCAGGGGTTTGAACCGCCAACCTTCCAATCGGCAAGCCCAGAGGCTCAGTGGCTTAGACCACAGCGCATCCCTATTTAACCACCTGTTAAAGAGTTGTAATTCAGCATCTCGCCAGTTAGAATAGATGATCTTCTTGTTCATGGACTCATGGGAGCCAAGGCTTCTAGGCACAATGCTGCATGGATTGCCAGTGATCCATGAGATGGGAGCCTGAATAGCTCAGTTGGTTAGAGTCTGGTGCTGATGACGCCAAGGTTGCAGGTTCGATCCCTGTATGGGACAGCTGCACAGTCCTGCATTGTGGGGGGTTGGACTAGATGATCCCTTCCAGCTCTATGACTCTATGACCTACTAGCCAAAAGCTAAGGCTACACACGCCTAGACTGTCTATGCTATAGAATTTAGATTTGTAAGGAATTCAACTCTTTTTTTAAAAAAATGAAGGTTTCTACTCTTCACTATAAATGGAAATACAAGCTCAGATCAGTCGGTAAAGTGTGAGACTTTTAATCTCATGGATGGTCATGGGTTTGAGCCCCCGTTGGGCAAAAGATTTCTGCATTGCAGGGTTCCTCAGGGTCTCATGTGGGTGTCTTCTTCCATCCCTTGCCATATTCCTCTCTGTACCCTCTACTGCCCAGCTCTTATCAATGCCCCTCTTTCCACAGCCACACAACTACTTGCTGATCCTGCAAAACCGTAAAAAACCCCGGTTTTCGGAATAGCATAATTCAGAACTTTTTGTAATGGTTCATCAGGAACTTCTGTTACATGGATGCCAACATGGACGTTTCCTTTCTCACTCATCCTAAACACTCATCCAGCTTTGGTTGCTGTGTTGTGCTGTGGTAATTTCTTGATTAGGGACACGGGTGGCGCTGTGGGTTAAAGCCTCAGCGCCTAGGACTTGCCGATCGAAAGGTCGGCGGTTCGGATCTCCGCGGCAGGGTGCGCTCCCATCGCTCGGTCCCAGCGCCTGCCAACCTAGCAGTTCGAAAGCACCTTCGGGTGCAAGGAGATAAATAGGTACCGCTTACCAGCGGGAAGGTAAACAGCGTTCCGTGTGCTGCGCTGGTTCGCCAGATGCAGCTTGTCACGCTGGCCACGTGACCAGGAAGTGTCTGCGGACAGTGCTGGCTCCCGGCCTATAGAGTGAGATGAGCGCACAACCCTAGAGTCTGGCAAGACTGGCCCGTATGGGCAGGGGTACCTTTACCTTTAATTTCTTGATTGCTGACTGGGAGCGGCCGCCTACACTGGCTCCCAGTACGTTTCCGAGCACAATTCAAAGTGTTGGTGCTGACCTTTAAAGCCCTAAACGGCCTCAGTCCAGTATACCTGAAGGAGCGTCTCCACCTCCATTGTTCTGCCCGGACACTGAGGTCCAGCGCCGAGGGCCTTCTGGAGGTTCCCTCGCTGTGAGAAGCCAAGTTACAAGGAACCAGGCAGAGGGCCTTCTCAGTAGTGGCACCCGCCCTGTGGAACACCCTCCCACCAGATGTCAAAGAGAAAAACAACTACCAGACTTT